GGTCCAGACACTTCCAGTGCGGCGGTGATGGTATTCTCGTTCCCATTAGTGCTATTGAAATGCAGCATCAAGAGTAGCTTTTAAAAGGGAACGTCTCGGGTTACTTGACTGTAACCCTGTTCCCTGAAAAAGCGGGAACGGAATGCTTGCGCCTCAATGCCGCACTGTAGGCGTGCCTGGACGTCCTTTCGGACAAAAGTGTAACCTGAAGGTGTGTCCGTTTCACGTCTATTTATAACCCTGCAGGTGCACGTAATCAAATGACGTCACCTACCGAGGTTATTTAAGCCAATTCTTGGCGTGTTTGACACACATGCTTCACAACCGGTTGAACAAAGAATGTTCTCATTAGCGTTATTGAAACGCAGCATCTCATTCATGCTTTTTCAGGGAACAGGATTTCAGTCAAGTAACCCGAGACATTCTTGCATGATCTTTTACCTCAAGTCTACCTTTGATTTTTATACAAGAAACTGAGGACAACAGAATAGCATAGGTTACAAAAATGTTATTAGGTCAGAGATACATTTGTGCAGTTTATATCATGTGTCGTAAGCATGCTTTATTTACTAAATGAAGACATCACGCAACTGGCAACTTTGCTTCCAGTAAAACAGTTTTTAGTGAAAACATTAAGCAGAGCTGCCACATTTAACAATCTTAATATTTCACAGCGTAATATTATAATGTCTCATCTATAGGGTATAGTGAAGAAATACACGTTGGTTCACTTGAAGAACTTACTGTAGCGTCTGGACCAATCAAAGTTTTTAGTACATTAAGCAGAGCTGCCACATTTAACAATCTTAATATTTCACAGCGTAATATTATAATGTCTCATCTATAGGGTATAGTGAAGAAATACACGTTGGTTCACTTGAAGAACTTACTGTAGCGTCTGGACCAATCAAACACACCATTTTTCATTTGATTTAACAAATCAATTATTCATTAGATTAACAAACATTCACAGACCCCTCACCCAATAAACATACTGGGTGCCAAGTTGTCTGTGAACGAGGCCCAGGACCCTGGTTACCATGGCAACCCTGACACCAGATACATTTACGACCTAATGGCATGTTGAGAAACACCTTTCTCACTACAATTTCCATAGGAAATCCACAGTGCACAGTAAAAATGGACTCTTCTCTGATTAATTAATAGGAAAACCTTTCTTTGAATGAACACACATATCCTTCAGGTCATTGTGTATATTATTGCTGTCTTGTATATTATCTGTTGTATTGTAGACTATTTTATGCATGCTTATGATAGAACCACTCATTCATGTAACCTTACATATAACGTGTTTGGTCTCTATTAATT